TCTAAGGAAGACAAATGCCCCAATCGGCGATGCCATAAAGAGTGGAGGTGACCTGAGAACTGGGTGAACAGAAGAAAGTGGCTGCTGCAGATGGAGTTTGAGGTTTTGACTTCTCTGATGCTAACGCAACCAAGTAATAAAGTCTGTCTCGTTGTTCACCCAAACCAATCGTCGTCCTCATCGTCAATCCTGCAAATAAACCAATAAGGGAAAAAAGTTACAGAACAATTTAGATCTCTGGTAACTCGACTCACAGATATTAAATCCACCTTAAAAGATGGCACACCAAGCACATTTTTAAAGTAACAGCAAATTCAAAGGTAAATTCCCAGTGGATGTAATCAAGCTTGTTCTCCACTTGGCATAGCAACTGTTGGCAAAAAGGTATTCTTACTGCCGTTGACAGCAAAGTTGGAGATGAAGTAATGTGATCTGTGGCACCCACTGTTGATAATTAATTGATGGAGGCGTACAATTTTTGTAACAAACCTGAGAAGCAGCATTAGCTTTAGGATTGACAGATTGTGTTGTTCCTTTACCCTGCATGATAGATAAGATTTGCTGGATTTGCAAATCAGAAAGCCCATTTGTCACTGATGGCACTTTTTGCATTATTGGACTTTCTTTGACATTGTTGACTGAGGATTGATGGCTCTGGTTGCGCTTGAAATGAGTGTGTCCTTGATTAGACCTGTTTTGCATGTTTAGGGTGTTCTGGTGGGTACCCATCTCAGCTTCCACATGTTCTTCGTACATGATGGTCACGTCACAATAAGAGCAATGCAGAGGTTTTCGATTAGATGAGTTGGAACGAGAAGAAGAAACCTGTCCATGTCGAACACCAGAGCCACTAGTTCAGCCATGGCTGAGTTCTCTGCTGTCTCACGTGCAGCCCCAAAGCTTCCTGCTCTTCTCCTCCTGTACAATGGAAGAATAAGCCTTGGCAGCATCAGGTATGGATTCATCAACAAAATTTGCCCTCGGATTGCACTATAGGACTCATTGAGTCCCATGAGAAATTGCATCAATCTGCGTCTCTTATGGTCTGCCCCCAAGAGCAAACAGTGTCATTATAGGATCCCAGTTCATCCCATAATTTTTTTAGTCTTGTGTATAAGCTGCAACAGTCATCTGATCTTGAGCAAGACAAGCAATGTCCCTCTCAATCTGAAAAATACGAGGGCATTGCTTTGAGAAAAACAATCCCGAAGGTCTTCCCATACCTCCTGGGCAGTGGTAGAAAAATGACACTATCTGCAAGGTCCTGTGTGAGTGAGTTGAGAATCCAAGAGAGGATCATATCATTGCATTTTTTCCACGAAGCATAGTCGCTGGTTTGGCTGTGGCAGATGGCATTGTGGTGGTCCCGTCTATGAAACCCAACTTAGATTTGGTGTTCAAAGAAATTGTCATGGCTCTACACCATGTCGAATAATTATCCTCATTGAGAGGCTTGGAAACAAGCACCATTCCTGGATGATCCGAATGTGAAGAAAATATGGATTGGCAGCATCAAGCTTGCCTCCATTCGAAGGTTGCTGTTCATCATGATAAAGAGAACAGCGATAAAAGAAGCAAAAGAAAGGGAGCAGATGCAGAGAACAGTGATAAAAGAAGGCAAAAGAAAGAAGACAAATGCGCAGAGCTAGGTATCGTGCCCTGCTCTGATACCATGAAAGATGAGAAAAATATATGCCTTTTGAATTGCATTTTATTGAATAAGGAGGCGTAGCTTTATACAAAAGTTTTCCTACAATCATGCTAGTCTATTCTAGTAGTCTAAATATAAAGACAACAAAACAAATATGTCCTACAATCATGCTAATCTATTCTAGGTAGTCTAAGTATGAAAGGCAATTAAATAAATATACAATTAATATAATATATTGTCAATGAATGTCATTGACCTTTCCTTCTCACAGAGATGCAACTTATGGAAGTGAAGCAGAAGAGATTGGAGATTCCATTGGATAAAGATGCTAATCATTATCTAGTTTACAATTAAACCTACCTTAGTCCTGTATCTTTATTGCCTGCAATTACTTCAGAAATTGAAGCAGAAGTTTAGTAACTATTTGATAATTACTGTACTTTCTTTCTGAAAGAAGTGTTATTCACATCATAGCTTAAAATTGCAATAAGCGATCTTTAAATGATAAAGGATTAGCAGTAATATTACGTGCTTTAACACTTGTAGTTGATCTATAATCTCATGTGAAAACCTCTCTGTTTCATTGTTTTAACAAATTTTTTGATTTGTATAACTGTTCTCATATTTGCTTTGCTGAAATATCTGTCAGATGAGTACGTAAGTGAAGAAATCCTTACTTTAAGGACTGATTTGACAAGATTTGTTGTTCTTGTGTGGCGTGGACTCCAAAACAGTATATGCGGTTCGTCTGGATATTTATGCTTTGTTTTGTTTTTAGGTATGAAAAATGTTCACTTTGACACTCAAATCTACTTGAGGTCCTTCTGGATAATTATGCTCTGTCTTGGTTTAAAAAAAAGTTCAACTTGGACTCTAAAATAGTAGAAATTGTTATAGAGGCAGTCTTATTACTTCACTTGGTTGATATTTGCTACCATCTGATAATATGATGATTTATAGAGTTAGTTTTCTTAACCACTCATTATGGTAGTAGTTATTAATGAATCATCTAGGATAATAATTGAACAATTATGCTAATAGTTGGATGAAAGAGAAAACTTTGACGCATATGTGACAACACATGTCATTATTTCATTGGATGGTCTCAATACATTATCTAGATGAGATGGTAAGACTATCACATTACCTAGATGCTTACCGTACTTTCGGTCTTGGGTGTGAAAAAATGATCACTTTTGACTAGCATGAGATGTTCATGAACATGATCAAATTAAATAGTGTATAGATTCAAATGGTTCGTGTTGTGGCTTCCTATGGATTCACATGTATTTTAAACTTAATATGCCTATGCTTGTTGTTGTAGTTGCAGTCTTGTAGAAGATTTTATTGTGTTTTTTGTAATAATTTTATTATATATAATACAATGGTATTATTGTCAATACCCTACAATTTTTTTTCATAAAAATTACCTGCCGCAGTCCAGCTTTGGCCTAAGCTAAATCCATATTAAGCTTTGCCTTTATTTACAAGCAAATTTGTTATTTTTTCTTTTTTAAGTGTTTTTTAGCCCCCACCAAGTTGACCAATATCCCTTATAGCTAAATACACCTCCTCTATAATTTAAAAAAAGAAAAAAAAATATCTTTAATCCTCATTTAATACTAAAAGTAGCCCTCTAAGCTTAATTAGATTTATTTTCCCTAATTTCAAACTTAATTAGGTTTTCTTTCTTACACCATTTTTCTTCGATGTCAAACTTAAGTAGGTTTTTTGTTTACATCACTTTTTCTCAATTTTCTAATTTCAAATTTGGAACTTATTTTTTATTATTCATATTCAGATTCATCTCATTGTGTAATTATGTTCTTCATAGTTTTAGTATTATAATTTTATCAAATAAAATATTTCAAATTTAAAAAGGCTTCAATAATCATTAAAATTTAGGGTTAGGGAATGAAAATTTAGGATTAGATTTTATGTAAAAGTAAAGGTTGAAAATTATAATAAAATATAAAATACAGTTTGAATATATTTAAACATTATAGTTAAATTTTTTTAAACAAAAAATATATTTAAAAATGGGGGATAGTGAATAATTAATTGGGGGCTAAAAATCACTTCCCTTTTCATTTTAACACTAATTCTCACATTATATTTTGTCTTGAGATTTCTATCTCCGTAAAAATGACAATGAAAGCCCGGCCCAATTTGAGTTTCGATTCAATCCACCTGAAAGGAGTTGAAGCTAATATTGGAAACCTATTGGGTTTGTATGGGCCCATTTTCCAATTAACATAATTTTTTAAACAATTAATAGTTTTAGTTTTAAAAAAAAAAATGATAATTGCATTCCTTGATCTGCCAAAAATAAAATAAAATCACAACCATGTCATAACAAAAACATACATACACTATTAATGTGAATCATCTCACTGTTTTTATTACTATAAATCTTGTAATTGTCAATGCTTGAAAATGCAAGAACTGATATTGTTTTTTTCTTTTTTCTTTTTCTTTTTTTTTTTTTTAATGATCGAGATGTTCACGCTCATTTTTTAAACATCTTAATTAATCGTTAAGGTCTATTAAATACTCTACAAGTTTAATGTTCTAANCGTCCATTAGGAATGGACGCCCGTCCAAACGTAAGGGACGGCCGTCCATAATTTATGGACGGCCGTCCCCAAAGTTTTACAAACTTTTTAATTTTATTTTAATAGGGACGGGCGTCCATATTATGTGGACGCCCGTCCCTCGAATATGGACGCCCGTCCATATAATATGGACGGGCGTCCATGTGAGTAAACGGCCGTCCAAATTTGATGGACGACCGTCCACTAGAAAAAAATTGTAAAAAAATGGAAAGACGCATTACACGTAGGCCGGTACAAAAATTCGGTGCTAATATTTCGGTGTCCGTAGTGTTATTGTTTTGAACACTATTTAAACACTACCAACGTTGCAGAAGGCCCTAGCCCATAGGTCGTCGATCGTTCACATTAGAAAAATCATTCAAATTTTGAATTAGTAAAAACTTAATAAAAAATATAAACTCACCTAGTGTCATTAATATCAGAATAAGTAAGTAGGTTTTATAAATGAATTATGTGGAACAATTTTTAAATTTTATATCTAAACGTATCAATTTCATCCTTGAAAGTTCTTTCAATAATAATAATAAGTTTATATTTAATATCCAATAACATAGATGCGTGATCTTGAAAGATTAAAATCATGAAAAAGATTTCCATTATAAAATTTATAATGGTGAGTCATATATGCACAATTAGCAGCCATCACTGAAATTTGATGCTATCATTTTTGTTTCCCTTCCTTTTAGACTTGAGCTGTCTTCTTTTTTCAAAGCTCTGATTCATCCCTCAGATTTGATTATTTTTCTCCACCGAATTTTGTTCAAATTCTAAACTCTAAAGCTCTCTGCCCGACTGGGTGCCGATTGGCGCTCTAGGAGAAGAGTGTATGAACCAGAACAAACTATTTTTATAGCTCAAATCCTTGTATAATCTCCAAACACAAGTCTCTTCTTTTTCCCACGCCTCTTCTACCTCGAAACTCCCAAAGTTTGGTCATTTTGGCCAACTTGATGTTGTTTGCGGTTGCTTAACATCTATTGGGTTTCACTAATTGTTCTAAACTCTTTGCTTTGGTGATCATGGATGTCTTGGATCCAATCATGGGCATTCTCCCAACACTGTGGAATGGCACTTCCAAGCGCATTGATATCATCCGTCAGCTCGACGAGAACTTGAGTTCATTGCGAGAGGAAAGGTGTAAACTCCAGGACATCGGCCAAGATGTCAGAAGCAGGGTCGAGCTTGCAAACCAGCTATATTGTAAGCGTACCAACCAAGTTGAAGGCTGGCTGGAACGTGAACGACGCAAATTAGTGGAAGTGGATAATATGTTGCTGAAAGGAGAGCAAGAGATCCAAAAGAAATGTTTGGGAAGTTGCTGTCCCAGGAATTGCTACTCTAGCTACAAGCTTGGTAAAGAAGTAATTAAGGGGACTAAAGCTGTGAATGATTTAATAAACGAAGGGAAGGAATTCAAATATTTGGATGATGTTTCTGAAAAACTTCCGCCGCCTCCAGTGGATGAGATATCTGTGAAGAAGACTGTGGGCATGGAGTCCATATTGAATGACGTTTGGAGTTGTCTTGACGACCATGAAGTGAGTGTGATCGGCATATACGGGATAGGGGGTGTTGGCAAGACCACCCTTTTAAAGAAACTTAACAAAAAATTCATCAATGAAAGACGAGAATTTGATGTGGTGATTTGGGTTACGGTGTCTAAAGAAGTGAACTTGGATGGAATTCAAGAAGTCATACGGCATAAATTACAGATTCCATATGAAACATGGGAAAAAAAGACAGACGAGCATAGTAGAGCTACCGAAATCTGCAGAAGCTTAAGTAGAAAAAAGTTTGTGCTATTGCTAGACGATCTGTGGGAGCGAATAGATCTGCCAGACATGGGAGTTCCTGACGTTTCATGCCATCAAAATGGGTCAAAAATTGTATTCACAACCCGTTCAGAGCATGTGTGCCATAGCATGGACGCTGCTGTCAAGAATTCGAAGTGAAGTTTTTGTCATTTGAAGAATCCTTTGAATGTTTCGACAATGTGTCGGAGGATGTTTTGAACTCGCATCATCAAATTAGAGAGTTTTCTGAAACTGTTGCTAAAGAGTGCAAAGGTTTGCCGCTTGCTTTGACCACTATTGGGAGGGCCATGTCCAATAGGGAACACCAGAGGAATGGCGTTATGCATCAACACATTGCAGAGTCATCCATCTGAGTTTGCAGATATGAAAGTAGTGTCTTTCAAGTTTTGAGGTTTAGTTATGATAGCTTGAGGATGATAAACACAAAAATTGTTTTCTTATTGTTCCTTGTTTCCAGAGGATCATATGATTAGAAAAGATGAACTAATGACCTCTGGATTGCGGAGGGATTTACTAATTATGGTTTAGATGATACAAGAGACGCAGGAAGTTTATTATTAGAAGTTTGAAACATGCGTGTCTGTTGGAGATGGTTGGAGATTCTGATGATTATGTTAAGGCACGATGTGCTTCGTGATATGGCTCTGTGGTTAGCTTTGGTAAAGGAGAACAAGATTTTTGTTTTTGAAAATCAAATCCTTAAAAAACATGGCATTGCTACTGGAAGGAGGCAGTAAGAATATCACTGTGGGGTAGAAGTGTTAAACTTTTCAGTGAAACACCATTTTGTCCGCGTCTGCTAACTTTTTGTGTTAGACAGCACTTCAGTTGAGACATTTCCTAGTCCATTCTTTCAATCTATGCATGCCATGAAAGTTTTGGACTTGTCAAAGAATTGGTACTTACTACGTTTGCCTGCCATGCTTGAATGATAAATTTGCAGTATCTTAATTTGCGGATACGATATAAGGAGTTGCCAATTATGGCTAGCAGTTTCAAATTGAGTTTCTATGTTGATGGTACAAGGAAACTCAAAGCTATTCCAGAAGGAGTGATATCAATTCTTTCATCGCTACATGTGTTCACAGAGTACCAACTAGAAATAGGGAGCTGTATTTTCATTCCTTTTGGAATACAACCTTGTTACGAGAGTTGGAGTGCTTGGAAGATTTACAAGAAATTATTGTCACCTTGTTTACAGTCGATGCTGTATTTCTATTTAAATCATCCCCCAAGTTACGAGGTTGTGTAAACGGTTAGTAATCAAGTGCGAGCAGGGCGAGGATTGCATTCGCCAACGCATCCTCTTCGGTTCTAAGTACAGCTGTTTCAACATCCTTCATGACCTCTATATCAATAATTGTTTGATAAAAGATTGACATGCCTCAGATATGCTACACGGCTTAGATTTGTTTTTGCTGAAAAATGTCCCTTATTGGTAGAAATAATTGCCATGAATTCAGCTCTTCATCGAAGCCCCCAACATGTTTAAAAATCTAAAGCAATTGAATTTTCGTGATCTACCACTTCTAAAGAGCATATGCCGGGTCTGCACTTCCCTACCCTGGAGACGATACATGTAGACAATTGCCCAAGTCTAAACAAACTCCCACTTGACGTTTTCAACGAGAATAACAGCAGAATTTCGATACTGGAGATAAAGAGTGGTGGATAAGCTGGAATGGGAGAATTCGAGTTCAAAGTTTCTTATCCCTCTATGCATCAGACAGCACCCGTCTCAGGATTAGCAGCACAATTTTGTTCCGACAATTTTCCACACTTCAAGCAGCTGGTTGGTGAATTCAGATGCGCCAAGTTATACATTGAAGCAACAAAGTTTGAGGAAAGGTACGTATCCTTCGTACTTTCGAATCCAATCTAGATCTATTATTTTATTTTGTTGCAGTACTTAGTTCATTTTCATGCAAACAATTTCAAATTTACTCATTAGAAAGACCAAAGTGGAATACGCAAGTTAAATCTAAAAATTTTCATCGCTGCTCAAAAGTAGATTACATCTATATTTGTAGTCTAGATAAGGAGACTGATATTTCATATTTGATATTAGTAGTTACAACATAAAATGTTTAACCCAAAATTATATACTAGAAAATTTACTGGCGAAAACGTTTTTTAACAAAGACCCCTGTTTACTAACTTTTGTCCGCTTAAATTTTACTTAATACTGGGAATCAACTTGTACTTGGAAAGGACTAATACTATCACTAAAATTTTTACACACGTTATGAACCGTTCATTGTGATAAATATGTTGAGTTGACATTAAATGTAACTACCTTTTGTTGATCATGATTTAGGGTAGAGCTATGGCATTATTTTTAATTAAATATGGAGAGGGGGTGAGGGGAGAGACATTTATAGCTTTCTACTTTTCTTCTCTGATTTCTCTCTTACCCAAATAGTAAAATGCTCAAATTACAGAATTAAACTTTATTGATGAATTTCTGAACACTCTACTAGAAAAACTTGCTTCATTGACACTTAGGCTCTTGACAATTAGAAATTATGTACTATAAAAAATTATGTATAAAAATATAGGTATTATAAGACTTAATTTTTATTAATCTAACGATAAATTGAGTGGTTAATTGGTAATTTAATGAAAAAGTCCATTTTATAAGGGTAAAATTGAAAGATATTAAAACTAAGAGAGTGGGTTTTAGAAGGCCTATAGTAGAAGTAGAAATAGAAGGGTTGAAATGATATTTAGCAGTTCAATTAGCCGTAAACAAATTTTCTGAAAACATACACGAGGAAGGGACTCGAAATGAACCATCAAATAACCTCCCCCACCAATGATGCTGCAGCCTGCAGTGTTACCTTTTCATGTTGTCAAATCATTCATATTTTATTAGTTTTTAAAAAAGTGGATCGCTTAAGCAATTACATTCCTTGAAACTTTCAAATTGGCACTTTGTCACTCATATCATAAATTCGACTTACAGTTATTTTTTTTTTCCGTTTAAATGGATGGCTGACCTGTTTTGATTAATGAAACTCGTAATTACACTTGAAGATTTGTTGTACACCGAACTACCTGACATTCAGCTTTGATGAATCTGGCAATTGACGTAGCAATCTTTCCAGCAGACTGACACAAGAAACTTAGAGTGGCACGGATGTTTCAGAAGCGGCACTTAAATATCAATGACTTACATAAGCTCCAACGAGGCAAAAAAATATGTAGACTGAAGTGCAGAAATTAAGGCTGAGATTGAAAAGAGGAAAAATATATTTAGGCTTCGTTTGGTTGGATTTTGGGAATACTACTTTTAGTATTTCCAAAAAAGGTAAACAGTAAATACCCAAAACTCACAATATTATTCAACTTTATTCCACTTTTTTAAACCCCCTAAATTTGTTATTCAATTAATACCCCTAAATATTTTTAATGTTTTGTTATGGCGACTCCGGCCACCCTCCGGCGGTGGTGGCCGGCTGTCCGTATTTAAGGGTGGATTGGGGGTATTTTTGTTAACTTTTAATGTTTTATTATAAGGGGTGTTTTGTAAAAAAACAACATAGGGGGTATTTTTTAATTTGTAAATCCTACATCGTAATACCCCGCCCATTCAACTTTTTTTTAACTTTTTTCAAAAAACTTTTCCCAAAAACATAAAATTGTGACAAACGGAGCCATATGCCTTTTGAATGTATTTTATTGAATAAAAAGGCGTAGCTTTATACAAAAGTTTTCCTACTCATGCTAGTTCTACTCTAGGTAGTCTAAATATAAAAGACAACAAAACAATGTCCTACAATCATGCTATCTATTCTAGGTAGTCTAAGTATGAAAGGCATTAAATAAATATACAATTAATAAATATATTTGTCAAGAGATGTCATGAGCCTTTCCTTCTCAACACTCCCCTACAAGTTGGAGAGTGATGTCAAGAACTCCCAACTTGCGTATCATAGTTGGAAAGCTTCCTTTCCCAATGGCTTGGTGAACACATCTGCAAGTTGATTTGTTAGACAATATGTTTGGTTACAACTGAACCATCTTGTATTTTGTCACGAATAAAATGGCAATCCATCTCTATATGTCTGGTTCTTTCATGGAAAACAGGATTGGCAGCTATATGTAAAGCGGCTATGTTATCACAATATAACAATGCTGGCTTCGGATGCAATATTCTCAAATCTTTCATAATGAACGTAGCCAGGATAATTCACAACAAGTACCTGTCATGGCTCTATATTCGGCTTCTACTGAGGAAAGAGATACGGTTTTCTGCCTCTTTGTCCGCCAGGAAATAAAAAGATCCCAGAAAAACACAGTAACCCGTAGTGGATCTACGAGATATTGGGCAAACCACCCAATCCGAATCAGAAAAACTCGCAAAATAAATCATTTTGAGAAGGGAAAACAAGCCTTACCCTGGACTGCTTTTCAATAACGCAATACACGCAAGGCAGCTTCCATGTGTGGTCTCCTGGTGCAGCATGTCTACTTAACACATGGACCGAATAGGTATATCCGGCCGGTAGTTCAAATAATTAGGCGTCCAACAAGTCGCCTATACTGAACGGATCTTTAAGCAATTCACCTGAATCCGAAAGCTTTATTTTTTGTTCCATGGAAAGTTCACAAGTTTAGCACCCAAAAATCCTCCATCTTTTAAAATTTCCAAAGTATATTTTCGTTGCGAGATGGAAATATCTTTCTTCGACCGAGAAACTTCGATGCCCAGAAATATTTCAAATCACCCAAATCCTTAATCGAAAATGACTATGTAGAAATTGCTTGAGGGCTAGTATGGCATTGACATCATTACCCGTAATAAGATGTCGTCAACATATATCAACAAAGCTTAAAACTTTTGCCTTTCTGACATGTGTATAATGAGTAATCTGCTTTGGATTGAACAAAGCCAGCAGCTTGGATAGCTGTAGAGAACTTGGCAAACCTTGTCGGGAAGCTTGCTTTAAGCCATATAACGACTTGTGAAGGCGACACACTAGATTCTCCCCCTGTCGCCGAAGACCAGGAGGTGGAGACTATAAATTTCTTCATGGAGATCGCCATGAAGAAAAGCGTTGTTGACATCAAATTGGTGAGAGACCAATTCTGGCAGCTGCTAAAGCCAATAGACAACGAACAGTAATCATTTTAGC